GGAATGCCTTAGGTTGTTGGACTTTGGGTCGTCAATTTCTCATCCAGTTTGCCTCAGCAGTTTTACTTCTGCAAAGTTATTTCTACTTCCTAAGAAATACGTTTAAAAGAACATTTAAAAATAAACAGTTCTGTGGATTTTCTAACAGACTTCTGACCTTTCCAGAGTTTAATCTATTTCCCATCTCCTGATGTCTAGAAGAAACTTACCACACTCAAAATGTGAAGCAACTTTATTTAGCATGTTACACAAAATGACATCACTATGACAACATTTGTGTGCAGCATCCCCTTTTGATATAGTAATGAAACAAAAAAAAAGTTCCAGTTTAATACAAATGGATCACATAAATTTTTATTAAAGCGTTTAGGCACTGAAGATTATTTTACAAAGTCTCTCCTTTTTCCACACACTTTGCTGTTTGTGTCTCCCAACCATCCAGTTGAGGTGTAAAAGAAGGGTGATACAGCATTAATGGGTGGTCCCCTGTGCCTTGTAATTAAAGCAGATTTTAACATTAGTCTGTAAAACCTCGGAGGGCAGTGCTCACCCAAGAAGACCCACATCTCAAAGAGCAGAAGCGACTTGGAGCTGCGGAAAAAGTGGTGTGGTGGGCAAATAAGCAGCTGTATTTCTGTAACCCGGCCACACCCCAAAGATGAGGATAACATAATTACACCCACACGGTATTGTGTAAACCACTTGAAGAGTGACAGAGAGGGCCGCCGCTGCTAAATTTGACCAAAGTGGAAGTTTAGAGAAGGGAGACTGGGAAGGGAGCGATGACCTGGGAGACTTTTCCTGATCTCCCCGTCAGATCAGAACAGAAACTCAGCAGTTTAGTTAGAAACATAATGTGCTGCTCTGAAATCTAAACCCTTAACCAGAGATGCTGCCTACTGGGTGACTCTTTAGTTCAATATAATAATAATAATTAAAAAAAATGCATTTTATGGTTAACCAGCGGCTAAATTGTCACCAAGTTTGACTGAGCGTGTGATTGGTTGGATGTTTTGTTCATACTTGTGTCTGATGGACAGGTTGTCCCCTGTCTCTCACCTGGAGACTGCTGAAGAAGAAAAAAACACTTCCCTTAGAGAATAAGTGGTTCAGAAGATGAATGAATGTGATCTTCATGGGAAGTTGGGTGTTCATGATGGATGTTTTGTTAAACAAATTAAACAAATAAAGTGTTGTATGGAAGCTCTCACTCATACTGAAAAGTGACTTAAAAAAGAACACTTGCAGCTCTTTACTCTGTCCAAAGAAGAGGCTATAGAGAATTCACTGTGGCCCTGCAGAAAAAAAGCTCTACTTTTCTGCTTATTTTTCTTGTGACTCCACAGTCGTGGGCTTTGTTTCTCACCAAAAGTAAAACCTGATGTTGTGTCAACAAACTTGACCTGACAAGGAGTTACACCGTATCAATCTGGTCCTGGAGCGCCACTCCCTGCATGCTTTCTATGCTTCCCTGCACCAACACACCTGGTTTGCATCAATGGGTGACTAACTTGAGGACATGCTGAAGCAGTGACTGAGTCAGGTGTTCTGGAAGCAGGGATGCCTCTAGGACCAGGATGCATGCACCAGTTTTATTATGAGAAAGTCATCCTCTTTAGTGTTACATCATTGTAATCTTGTGCAGAAATCCTGCCAGTAACATGAAGCTGGCCAAATCAAAATCTCCCCAGTTTTATTTTGAAATCATTTTACCTGTTAGTGCAACAAATGGACAGAAATGCATTTTTGATAATAAAAGTTTATTCTTAATTAAAAACTTTAAGGAACATTTTAATTTATTTGTTTTTCTCTTAAGTGGCCAACAATGGCTTTAATGACTCGTTTTACCAGTTTAGTCTAACTATCTGTGTTGATGGGGCTTGTTACCAGGAGTCAGTCCCAGGAGTTTCCGCCTGTGGGGTGTGAGGACCTCCCCCCTCACGCACGCCTCCCTCCGGGCAGATGAGGCTTAGCGGTGAGCGGTCAGTGGGTGAAGCAGGGCGGCCTGTCGAGTCAGCTATCTGGGTAGCTGGGAGGGACGATCCCGGCGCGGAGCGGAGCGTTACCATCGTGGGAAAACAACAACAGTTACCGGGAACGGAGACGGTCTGGTCACACGGCAGCCTCAACATGCACCGAATAACGGGGAAATCTGGAGAGGACAACTTAATAATAGAAATGAGCCCGACGGACTCCTTCAACGGTGAGTTTCTGCGTCAGAACCGCTTCTTATGCGTAAAATAAACATGTTAGGCTTTAATAAACCCTCCACTATGTTATTTACCCTCTCAGAGTGGGAGTTCTAGATTTATACATATAGTCTTTATCTAAAAGTATTATTATTATAATACTTATTAGCTTGTTTATCCCACCTTAACCCTCCTAACCAGTTTAGCTTTTCTCTCGTAAAGGCAGCAGTGATTTACTGGGAGCCAGGCTTAAGCAGCTGGCCTGCCTGCTGGAAACACTCTGTCACCTACAGCCAGTCACTTTATCTACCAGTACAAACCGCAAATCCCTCCTGGTCCCCAGCCGAACCAGGATTTTAAACAAGCAGTTCCACAGCTGGTTTTTGGCCATTTATGGCTGAGAAGTGTGTGGAGCTGAATGAAAGATGAGTCAGTCTGGATGTTTTCTAGCTACCCTAATCAGTGTTGGTCTGTGTCTGCAGGTACACCCAGCTATACTAGAGTCCCCTAGTTTTCTGTACAGATGTACACACAATCTGACCCATATGGAGTCCATGTTTACAGACTACAAGCACTCATTTATCCTGGTTCTGGTCTGTAGGGCCTTACATGGACAAGCACCATCTTACATTGGTGATCTTCTTAGTCCCTACACCCCCAGCAGGTCCCTGAGGTCCAGTGATCAAAGCCTACTGGTTGTGCAGCACCAGGCTACAGACCAAAGGTGACAGATCATTTGCTGCTGTAGCCCCCAGACTCTGGAACTCTCTCCCCCTGAGCCTGAGATCAATGGACTCAGTGGTCTCCTTTAAAAAGCAGCTGAAGACTCACTTGTTCAAACTGGCTTTTGTATGACCTTCTTCACCACTCTCTTATTCTGCTCTCCCCACCTATTCCACCTTCCTCAGGATCCACTGATTTCCCTCTTTCCTATCCACTCTTAGCCTAGTGAACTAGACCAAATTCTTGCTTTGCAAAGAATAAATAATACATTTATTTAGTCTGGCTTGCCAGGCTAAGTCACTCTCTCTTAACATTTTTTTAATCACAATTGTCTATTTTTTGCTCATTTTAAATATTTTTTAACCGTTTTCCAAATTCTTTTTTATATTCTTACATTTTCTGTTTTTGTGAAGCGCCTCGTGATTTTTTTCTTGAGAGGCGCTATGATATGTTCTTACAAGTGCGGGTCATTTATCACATTCTTCTTCTTTTAGAAAGCTCTTTATTTTGGAAACACGATGTGTCGGTTAATCTGATTAGAAATCAACAGTAAGCAGCTGTCAATCACACACACACACGCACACACACACACACACACACACACACACACACACACACACACACACACACACACACACGCACGTGTCCTTATAAAAGTAACAATCCAAGTCATTTTAAACAGATTTTACAAAATGACAAAGATGATTTGTCAAACATGTGCTTAAAGTGTTGTTTATTGTGATGTGAGGAAGGTGTGTGTGGTAAAAGATAAAAAGACATCTCCTTAACCTTTCAGAGGTCCTGAAAACATTTAGGGTCTCTCACGCGCCACAAAAATGCACAAAGTTCCTGATTCTGCAGATGAAACATTTACTCAAACAAACCAGCATTTTTTACTTGTGTCATTTCATCTGGTTTTGACCTGTTTATAACTGGATTTGAAATCGACCCTGTTAGTTTATCAGTATTTCTCTTGAATCTCCTAGTTCTGCTGTGACTAAACTAAGAGACAGAAACATGTGTTGTAGCATTTCCACAGTGATCAGCTGCTCACTCCTGAACAAAGCTGTGACTGTGGAGGCTTTTTTATTCTTGGCAGTGCTGACTGGTTTGTACTGCGTCCAAAAAGCACCCAACTGTGGAAAAATATGCTCAACTGTATAAAGTGAGCTCCAGTTTCACTTCATGAACGTCAAAGTCATTCTTTTGTCTTCTTAAAACAAGTTTTATCTTGAAACAACACAGATTCTAGAAAACAAATGAGAATTTATTAGGTATTTTTGCTTGTTAGAGTATGTTTCCAGTTATTCTGGGATATTTAAAACCTTTAAGATACATTTCTGTGGATTTTTAAATGATGAGTGTGTTCCTGCTGTACTTATGTCCCATCAGAACCCTTTCATCTAGTTTTAGGTTTTATATTTTAACATTTCTTAAACTCAGCCTCTAAAGGTTTCACTGAAGTCCACACACCCTCTAATGACCAATGTAAATGTACTTTTACACAAAATACTCAATCATTAAATAGAATGGGATTACAGCAGAAATCTGTTTTCATGCAGCTCTAACCCCCCAAAAAAGCATGTAAACAAAGATTTACATACTGCAGTAAACATCAAAATTTCACATATTCAACTCCACACATTTCAAGCTGCATCACAGATTTAGCATGTGAATTAGAGCATTTGAAGTAAATATAGCTCCTGGTTTAAACCACTGGGTTATGCTTTTTAACTCGGCAAGACAAACGATTTGCAGGCTTATTTCTGTTCTTGGTATTCATGTTTCTGTGCAGAGTCCAGACTAAATATAACCACAGAGACCATCAATTAAGAAACAGAGACTGAGACTGAAGACTTTACTGTTTGACATTGGTCCTTGCTATGTTTATGTGTTTTGCTGCGCCATCTACCTCTTTATTTGCTTATGCAAATCCTTATTTTACTTTTAGAATCCACCTACGCTAGTTAGATTAGCATTTCAAAGGCTAGCCTTTCCCACTAGCATCCCACTAGCATCGGATCCACATGGACTACGTTTACATGCAGCCAATATCCGGGTTATGATCGGGTTAAGGTCGGTATTCGGGTTTCTGAGTTGATCAGAATAACCCGTTTACAAGCATAAATAGAAAGAGTTACCCCTAACTTGCATAACCCGATGTAAATGCGGGCGTTGGGGTAGCGTCAAGACGTGTGGACTACGTCCAGACGCAATATGTCCATTTCCGGTTCTTCTTGTTCCAGTATCCGTGAAAACAACAACATGTTTCCCAGTTCGGAAGAGATAGCGACCGCGTTTGTGCTTTAGTTTCCTCGTCACTCCAAAAGTGTGATGCTGTGCCGCGACTCGCCATTTTGCTCCCAACTTGTTGTTTACTTCCGGGGTTCTGGTGCATACAAGATGTCTCGCTACTCAAAAGACCAAGATTCCTTGCGAACAGAGCATGCGCAGAACACACGCTTTGATAGGGATATCCCGGTATGCGTTTACACGACCAAACATTCGGGTTAGAAAAGGGTTACCCCAGGTGTAGTAACCGGGTTTTTAAAAACCCGGTTATGAGCATATCCGGGTTTTTGGCGGTGTTTACATGGACCTGCGGAACCGGGTTATTGTGAATATTTGGGTTTTAAAAGGGTTACTGGCTGCATGTAAACGCACTGATGGTCTGAATAGCATAGAGAATGTCCACATTAGCATAGCCTCCTTTTTTCAGGGTGCAATCGGACTGTTTTTCAGCCCTCTTCTCGAGGTGGTCTGCTTCGGGCTGACCAGGGCCGACACACCCACTGCTGACTAATTCACGCCTCCCATTAGGGAAAGCCTCTGATTGGTAGAATCAGCCCTGTGGGCTTATAGCATGCACTATTCCTTATCACGCTAATTATCTAGAAGAGAAAGTCTCTGACTGCATTCCTTGCATTCCTAAGCAAGGATGTGTTGAATCAACCGGGCCAGGCTGGGGCTATCCAGGCGGTGTGGAGCCGATGCGAGTGGGGAAGGCCCGTTATTGTAGATTTGTGACTAGGAGTGGGAGTTGATAAGTTTTTATCAAAATCAATGGCATTGTCGGTTCAGTCTGTCAATCCAATTCCTCATCAATTCTAGAGTAGTTCAATAGGTGGCAAAAAACTAATAGCACACGGCTCCTGCAATATAACTGTTGGTTCATTTATAATAAATAATCAATTGTACCTGTATCAGTTGGAAAGATCTTTACAAATGTTCTCCTTTATGCTCCCTGGGAAGGCAGAGTCATCTTCTTGTTTGGTGCGGTGTTGCTGTAGCTTTTGTAGAGTGGGAAAAGTCTCACCACGGGTCGGACTTTAGTTGCTGGAGTCTGCTAGTGTGAAGGTGTGTATACAAGGCTAATGACGCTAACACGATAGGCAGTGTTAGTTGATTAGTTACCTGCAGTATTAACAGGAGAGGACGTTCGAACTTCACCACTTCTGCTGTGTTGAAATACACGAGTCCAGAGCGGGTCAAAACACGTCATTAACTCTTAAGTTATCGCATATTTTGTGCCCAAATGCCTTTTCCTTCCCTTGATGAAATATCTACTATGCAATTATTGCAAGTGACCCTGTTGTTAACCTTTATTGTAAAATATAACCAAACTTTCGAGCATTTGTGCCGCTTAGACACCATGTTTCCTGCTTCGCAACGCGCGTGGTGACGTCATTCGTGCCGACTGGAATTGATAAGGGGAATCGTTAGCAAAAGTGCCGAACGATTCCTAGGAATTGAAACAATGGGAACCGGTTGTTTTCGATTCCCAACCTTATTTGTGACGAAGTTTCCTTTTAATATTTTATCATATTTTGAAAGTTTATTAGGCTTCTCATTCTTTTTTCATGCAGTCATTTCTGCAGTAGATGTGTTGCAGCACATGACGGGTGGATATTCTTTCAGAAGAGGTCTGGTTCAGTCACCAGTGGTGCTCTGAGACGCCGGTGCTTCCACACATTACACAAATATAGACCACAACACTGGCTGCTCGTCTCTGCTGCCCACAAGTAGCTGCACATGTGCCTGAAACTTTGCATGTGCTAAACTTCCTGTTTGGATTTCTTTGAGTCATACTGTCAGCAGCTCATTAATGTTTGGCTTTCTGTTACTGTTCACAGATGATTTGAATGGCTGTAACCAGCATGCTTCAGGATCAGCGGTAAGTTCCAACTCACCTTCAGAATAATATTTTAAGGTTTTTACTGGTTTTCTCTGTTAGTAGGTGGGCTAACAGGGTTTTAGATAAATAGAAAGTGATTTCATGTTTTAGGAGAAGTTTTGCACCATAGTTTCACTTCCCCCACAATAGCAGAGCAACAGAGTAAATGTAGAAGCTTTCTTTTAAGTGCTTGGTGTATACTCACTCGCTGACAATCAGACGTGACCTTAATGTGTGTGTATTCTTCCTTTCTAAGTTTCCCTACACACCCGACGTGTGTGTGGAGACGTGTGACTCTCTGAACACCAGCCTGGCCTCTCTGGCCCCCTCCGACCAAAGTGACGGTCCACAGTACAGGTCTCAGTCTTTAGAGCAAATCAGTTCTTTGACTGGGGTAAGACACCAGTCGGGGCTGCAGATGCATGACTGTGTTGGTTTATACTAGCTAACTGAGTGAAACCCTCTCCATGATCACATCTGTTCAATTTCTCCTGGTGTTGGTCCTTCTCTTACTGTCCACTCGCTTCCTCCACAGCTTTGGAAAAAGCGGGCACTATTCCTGAAGTATCGTTCCAGGGTATGGCATGGTAAAACGGGCTTGTAATGTGCTGCAACCTTGTGCATATGCCTGCTTGCCTGCCAGACTTGGCTCAGTGTTGGGTTACACCATAAGCATCAGTTATTCATAGAACAAAGCTCAGGCATCGCTGAAATCAATAAAAAAAACTCTTGCTGGAGAGCTAATGCTGGCTTTTGGAAAGCATGTTTGTTCCTTGGAGTAATGGAAATGTGAGTTGATGTATCACAAGAGCTCACTGGAAATGGAAATGACGGTATGACTTGCTTTTTTCTCACCTGTAATGATTGTTTGCTTCACTGAGGAGAAAGCAACAACCTTGTGGTGTTACAGGATAATTAGAAGACACACGCCTGTACATAAACATGTAGATTCACATGCGTGTGTATATTTGTGTGTGTGTGTGTGTACTTGTCTTTATATGTTTAAGTGGACAAATTTTGACTTTAACCTGTTGTGTGTGAACATTTCCACATTTTGGGGACATTTTGCTAATTCTAAGCACCATTCTCCTAAAACTTGGTTTTAACTTTTAACTTTTAGCTTAGGTTGGTTTAGGTTAGGGTTAGGAATTGAACCTCAGTGGTTATGGTTAGGGTATGGGTTAGTCATAGTGGAGTCACATATATTAGCCCATTCCCATCACACATTCCCATTCCCATTCCCATTTACACACACACACACACACACACACACACACACACACACACACACACACACACACACGCACACATACAGATGCAAGCACGCACACGCAAACACACATGCATACACACTAACACAAAAAAAAACACACACACACATTTGTATTTATATATTTGTGTGGACCTCCATTCAAAAATGATTGGAGGTCCACACAAATATATAAATACAAATGTGTGTGTGTGCGCGCGTGTTTGCATTTGTGTGTGCGTGCTTGCATTTGTATGTGTGCGTGCTTGCTTGCGTGTGTGTGTGTGTGTGTGTGTTTGCGTGTGTGTTTGCGTGCGTGTGTGTGTAAACTAATTACAGTGTATATAATGTAATCAAGGCACTGCCCTACTCTCATGACAATGTTCTGTAGCTAAACATAAACTTCTCTCTTGGCTTCTTTTAAATCCCCTTTAATGTGGTTTTGCTTAAGTAGCATGTTCTCGTTTTAATGAAAAGTTGTTTTTAACGGTCTCTCTAGGTTAAAGACTCTCTAGTAGTTTGACTCCCTTTTAACTAAAGGCTGCCATCCAAGTGTTTGATCCCTTCACCTTCTAAAGGAGGACATCTGTGTATTCTACACATTATCTCGCTGAGAGACTGGGTAGGCCTATCAGGAACTGCTCTGGAGTGGTTCTCCTCTTATCTGTCTAAGCATTTCTTCTCTGTGGCCATTTCCAAGTTTCTGTCCTCCTCTACCTCCCTCACCCATGGTGTCTCACAAGGTTCTGTTCTGGTGCCTTTACTGTTTCCTTTAACCACGCACTTTCCAGCACATGCTGAGCTCTTTAAAGGAATCTCCTACCATCTTTATGCAGATGACATCCATCTGTACATCTCCTTTAAGCCCCATGAGATGTCTAAGCTGCAGCTGTTACACACCTGCTTAGACTCTATCAAAACCTGGATGGCTGGGAGCTTTCTACAGCTGAATGAAGATAAGACTGAGATCCTCATCTGTGCCCCAGACAAGCCGGTTCCCAAAGTCAGACTCTCTTTTGGTCAGCTTGCTTCCCACACCAAACCCTCTGTCAGGAATCTTGGTGTGACCTTTGACCCAACTCTCACCTGGACTCCCATGTCATTTATCTTGTTGGCTCTTCCTTCTTCCATCTCAGGAACATTGCTAAGCTGAGTCCCATTCTGTCCCGCTCTGAACTTGAGACAGTTATCCACACCTTCATCTCCTCACGCTTAGACTACTGCAACTCTCTTTTCACGTGTCTGAGCAGAACCTCCCTGAACCGTCTACAGGTGGTTCAGAATGCCTGTGCTCGGCTTCTGACCAAATCCTCCAAACACACCCACATCACCCCGCTTCTCCTCCAGCTTCACTGGCTGCCAGTCAACTTCAGGGTTCATTTCAAGATCCTGGTTCTGGTCTATAGGGCCTTACATGGACAAGCACCATCTTACATTGGTGATCTTCTTAGTCCCTACACCCCCAGCAGGTCCCTGAGGTCCAGTGATCAAAGTCTACTGGTTGTGCAGCACCAGGCTAAAGACCAAAGGTGACAGATCATCTGCTGCTGTGGCCCCCAGACTCTGGAACTCTCTCTCCCTGAGCCTGAGATCAGTGGACTCAGTGGTCTCTTTTAAAAAGCAGCTGAAAATTCACTTGTTCAAGCTGGTTTTGGTGTGGCTTTCAGTTGATTCGGTTGTTTCTTCTTGACTACTTTCTCTTCATGCTGCTGCTACCACCAATTGTCTTTCCCGGGATCCCGTATTACCATATCTTGTTCCTTTTTTTCCCTTTCTTCCATTTTTTTATTGAAAAATGTTTCCCCTTTTATTTATATTTTTATTACAATATTATTAAAATCATTTCATAAATGTCTTAATCTTTTTTTGTTTTTTGCTGTTCTTGTGAAGCACCTTGTGATTTTTATCTTGAAGGGAGCTATATAAAAATAGTTTCTTCTTCTCGAATCTTTTATCAGTAAATAGAGATTTTACTTATACTATTGGCAACTTTACTGGAGGTGCAGCTTGAAAATACAAATGAAAAACATTTAAAGATAAAATCTTTCTTTACTATAATTACCACTTCTCTGATGCTCCTCCTCTCACCTGCTGGGAGTTTTGTAACAGCAACAGAAGTTTTTAATCACAGAAACAGCAACACATGATGAATCATGAACACTTTGTAGCATCATGACTACAAACTCAAAGCAGAAACATTTTGAAATAGCTGATCTGTTATGCTCCATCCAAAAAAATAACCTTTGCACAATTTACTGTTTTGCTGACATATTTAAAGTTTTGAAGCTCCAAAGCAGTTAGACAGCATCTGGTTGCTCATCATTTATTGCCACGTCATTTTTCTGAGTATGATCTACAACTTGTGATGAATATTTTAGAACAATATTTTTTAGCAAATGTATTTGTGGCAAAGAAAACGTCTCATAATATTTGTGCACCTTGTTTAAAAAGGGTCAGAGAAAAACAGCTGGGAGCTGGAATCTTAGTTTGACTTTATCTTGTTTCCTCAGTTGATAGGTAAACAGCAAAAAGACATTTACCAAGTACCGTATGTATGTATGTTCTATGCTTGTCTGAAAGACTTTTGACCAGGGATGTTGGATATCAGCTGAAAAAAGCAACACATTACCATTTTGACCACATTTTAGGATTGCAGTGCAGTGATGCAACATTTGTTTACTTTGAAGAAAAAAATCACACATTTTGCTGTGTTTTATTATGTGTTCACATCTGATGTTCTGTGTGTGTCAATGAAGGTTTCTTTTGAAGCAGAAACTTTATATGAATTTATTTCTCAGTTGAGCTTATTGGACAATGTCCAAAAGATTTTTGGGAACATTTTAAACCAATAAGGAAATAAGAATACATCTGTGCTATTTTAAAGGACCTCTTGCCCCAAAACAGAAACCACCTTGTTTTAAAGTTTCCTAGTTAAAATAAAAGGTGAATGCATGTTGAAACACCCAGTAGTTAGGCTGCGGTTAGTAAATGTATAGAGAGCAGGTTGGCCCCAGCAGATGCACCGGTTCCATACAGCTGATCTCTAATTACTGGAAATGAGAGCGTCCCAGAAAGCACCCAGCCTGCCAGGGACCATGTGGTTCAAATATGGTCTGGAAGGTAATGCAGGCCAGTGGTTAAAACATGTATAACTTTGGACAGAAAACCTAACACATATTGAGATGTTCGGTACATTATTTAGTGCATTATTAAGCATTAATAAACTATTAAAACAAGTAGTAACAACTGCTTAACCATATTGAGTAATGCATTACTAAGTGACCACCCGGTCCCTAAGAACACTTAATAGAACAATAACGGTAACATTAATAAAGGAACCTTATTGTAAAGTGTTACCCTTTTGTTTTATGCAACTTCTGGTTTTGGATTTTTGGTCGAGGTAATTGTTTGTTTTAGCCAACTTTTCATTCCATGAAATGAAAATCCTGAATAGTTTTGTTGTAGAAGTCAAGACTAAACAACATCTGGTGTTGGATCTGTAGCAGAGGTTTCTGATCAAAGCAACCCCAGAGTGGTTTCCAGCAGCATGTTAACATCGCCACCACACAAACACTTGGTTTGGTCACGTGTGTGTGTGTGTGTGTGTGTGCGTGTGCGTGTGTGTGTGTGTGTGTGTGTGTGTGTGCGCGTGTGCGTGTGCATGTGTGAAATTAGTATCTCAGCTTGATGGAGCAGAATAATATTTGCACAGTGTGCAAATAACCATCAATAAAAGGCTGATGCAGGACACGAGGACTGAATGGGGTTTGGGTCATTGGCAGCAGGTTCATTAATTATATGAAACATGACACGGCATATTTGAGGGACTGTTTGTACAACTTAGTGCTCCTCCTCTGATGTGATTAGCTATCCTGCAGCAGCTCTGCAACCCCAGTGCTGATGTCATTCCTAGGACTCCCCCTGCCCCTCCCAGTTCTTCCCCCGCTCCCTCTTTACTGGATGACCACGGAGGTGAGGCGTTGTCCTAGGGTGGTTAGTGATCTTATTGGATTTCATCAGGATGAAGATCAATGGAGTAAGAGTTAGACAGGCTGTGGAGCTTTCTGGGCTGGACTCTGTTCTCTGGAGGAAAGCAGTAGAAGCTGCTGATGCATCAGGAGCGTAAAACGAGGGAGACATGGAGGTAAAGTGTACTCTTTCCTCCATTCTGCATCACAGTGACTGAAGGTCTGGATCACCATGCGAGTTGTATGTGTGCACATGTTGGGAACAGCTGACGTTTAGGAAGGTGCATTGTCTGCAGCTATGTTTAGCTTTCTGAACAGCTGAAGTAACACATACAGAAGTCATGTACTCTAAAAAAATGCTGCAGCCCATGTCTGTCCATTAGCCTCTCCAGGGCTAGCATTAGCTGGTGAGTGCTATTAGAATAGCAGCTTTTGCCGATGCCCACACTTTCAGGAAACATCAAACCAAGGGTTGATAAAAAAGGCATAGTCTTGAGGTCTGGTGAATGTCTCTTTGGGTTTTCCCCTAAAGGAGGATCAGCCTTTTATTGTTTGGTTCTATAAATCAGAGGTAGGCAACCCTGGTCCTCGAGTGGTTGTGTGATTGAATCACCTGTTCAGCAGCTCATCAACCTCTGCAGAAACCTGTTAATCACCTGCTGATTAAAATCAGGTTGGAACAGAGAAATAACTAAAACATGCTGGATAGCTGTTGCCAACCCCTGCTATAAATAATTCTATCAGTTATGGAAACTCAGGAAAAATGAATCCTGGACATCTGCATGTCTGTGTTTGGAGTGAAAATATAATCGTCAGTGTCTTAGATCTGGATGAGTAATCAGCTGTGAAGTGATTTGGAGGCTTTAAACACAGAGGCATCTAACTCTCGGGTGTTGTGTGCATCCAGAGACTTGCAGATAACCAACCCGTGTGTGTGTGTGTGATTAAATGTATGCTTTTCTGTGTTATCCCATCCTAGATTGACAAACAACAGCAGAGTAAAGACTCTGTGTTCTTCCGAGATGGAGTACGGCGGATTGATTTTGTCCTCTCTTACGTGGATGAAAAAGATGGTGAAAGAAAACAGGTAAAAAATCTTGATTACTTTACTGACCGTGTTTGTACAGTTCGTCTTTTAGTGGGTTTTATTTAGGGAAACAATTGTATTCCCACTCGGAGTGTAATGGCACCTGTATTTATCTCATGATGGTTTTTTTTTTAGTTGTATTCTCAGCGGGTCACCACTCCTACCTAGAAAGACATTTGTTTACATTCCTTTTGTTTACGGTAAGGACAGAAAAGCAGCAGAGGAGGTGGAAACTCTCTACCAAACAGCACAAACAGTGGATTCAGAATAACATGCAGAAAGTTCAAAATCTGTCAAGTTTCTGGTCAGCTGATTGGAGAAGTTTCCTGTTTTTCTCCCAGCAGCAAGAAGGAGCTATGTGTGGGAAATATGGCAAGCAGTTACGTCACACTTTGCTCACTTTGACACCACATTTAATTATTTTGGATAAGTCCAGATTTAGTGAACTGAAACACACCCAGTTTAACTTTATTTTTGTAGCATTTTCTAAATTAAGAGGGGAAAACCTTTTTGGATTTGACCAAACGGTCCGACACACAAGGCCTGCATTACTCTGTTATAGCCCAGAATGAATAAAAACTGGCCCTGCTTCTGAGAGAGTAAGTACACTTTTTCCTGTTTTACTGAACAATGATTTAGGTGAACAGTTACACCCATAGTCTCCATTCATAGTTGTGGTTTTCTTCTTTATTTACAAGACTAAAATCAAAACGTTTAAATGAGAATTACACACAGCAGAAACACTTCTGCTATTTCCTCCTCTTGATTTTCCACGTTGGAATGGCTTCATGCAGGAAATCCTGGAAATTGTTTACCGGCATCTCGGCCTAAATGCCACAGCACTGATAAAGCCAGATAAACTTTGATTCTCGGCTCCTATCAGTAATCTTCTCAAGGTTCTCTCCAGGATGATGAACTCTGTTCAGATCCTCTGTCAAGATTTTCCTTACACACATAGTTTTTTTTATATTGTTGACCATTACTGTTGTTAATTTATCAGCCAAGTGCTGAAAGAATCGGAGTGTTTCCCGTTGAGCTGTTATTCTTCACACCAAAGTGCTAATTCTCAGGTCGTAATGATGATTCACATTTTGCCCACAGTCTCAGTCGGTGAGTCACCAGACAAACCTCTGGTCCAGTCAGGAGCTGGATTATGTTTTCCACTGTGGGAGGAAAGGTTAATGTGAGGTCACGTCCTGTTTTATCCAGATGCAGAGTAAAATATCACTCTTAGCCTTACCTCCAGCAAAGCACTTTCATTTATTTTTATGGATAAACATATTTTTTTCTAAAGCAATGCACCATATGGTCATTTTTATTAGACTACTGTGTTATCACAACTGATTTCTGCAGCCTGTTTGCACTGCTGTGAGCGTCACAACGAGCTGGCTCAGATTTATCCATCCAGCTTTTGCAGGATACACAATTTCCTCAGCACTGACTCTGTTGCTTGCTGTTTTCCTTCCCCCGGGTTTGTTCAGCTGCACAGTACAATTTCCTTCTCTTGCTAAGATGAATAATCATCTAGATGTTTGTTTCATTTTATAAAAACTATAACTTTTCACCCATGGTGGGTTATAACCACTGGTTCTTATGGCGTTAACAAAACTTGCATGGAAAATAAAATTGAAAGCAGCTTCTCTATAGACTACAGTGGGGGTTTGGCTCAGACAAACATCAAAGATCTTCCACAAAATCAGACGTCAAGTGGCTACCATGGTTACCAGAGTAGCTGCACTAGCATCCTTTAAAGTCTCTTTAGATTTATCTTAGTTTCGTATCTGTACCCGGTGCATCTCTGATGGTTTCTTTGTGTGTTTGTTATTTTCTATTCCTTTAGGAGAGGAGACGGATCTATGAAGACAACTTGGTGAATGTTGGCCTGGAACTGGAAACAGAAAGCAAATCAGTAAGATTACATTACCACTGAAATGTTTATGTGCAAAAATATTGTCTCAAATGAAACTTTTGCAAGTTTCAGTAATATGCTGATTATTCTGTTGGACACAGTGTTATTAATGTGATTTGTACGTGTTTTTGTGTTTATTATCAGGAGTCTGAGGATGGAAAGACCTACTTTGTGAAGATCCACGCTCCATGGGAAGTTTTGTCCACCTACGCTAGTGTGTTGAACCTCAAGGTCCCGTTCAAAGTCGACGACACGCTGGATGAGAAAACAGAAATGCCCATGAGCTGGCTGGCCACGCCTTTCCGTCTGCCCAAGGACATCATGCACCCTGAGCCTGATTATTTCACTGCTCCTTTCAACAAGGACAAACCTGACTTCTTCCTCATCAACGACAAAGACACATTCTTCCCTCCCTCAACTCGCAACAGGATAGTAAGCATCCATCATTTGTGGTCTATCTTATCATGCTTGTGACCTTCGAATTTGAAAATCAGCAACATTATTAGGAAACAAGTTTTTCCAGAAGAGTTAGATTTGTGAAAAGCTCCATGTTTTAACCACAGAGGCCTTTCCTTCTGTATCCAGGTGTACTATATCCTGTCCCGCTGCTCCTACACCGGGGAGGAATGTGCAGATAAAGACAAGAAGGGAATCAAGAGGTTGCTGAACAACAGCACCTACACTGCTGCTTTCCCTCTTCATGATGTGAGCAGTTTTACTTCTTTCCTCACATTAAAAGGCACAGCAGAGATGCAGAGTTTAATGACATATTTTGCCATAAATGTGACTGAGATCAGTGTTCTCTGTGTGACTGCAGTCGAGATACTGGACAAGATCGAAGGATGCTAACTGTGAAAGTGAAAGATACACTCTCTACAAATACTGGGCGAAATTCCTCTGCTTTTTCAAGGAGCAGCCCCTCGACCTCGTCAGGTAGAAAACACCAGAGAGCTGCATCTTTTAGGTATCAGGAATAAAAGCCATGTCTTTATAATTCTGTCGTCATCAGAAATTATTACGGAGAGAAGATTGGTATTTACTTTGCTTGGCTTGGTTTCTACACCGAGATGCTGCTGTTCGCCGCCGTCGTCGGAACCATCTGTTTCCTGTACGGATTCCTCACCTTTGACGACAACGAGTGGAGGTTGTTTTTCCACAAATAATTCTTATTTTTCTGTTTTGTTTGTTATGATATGTTTGATTTATACTAACGCTGCTTCCATTCCCCCCCCAAAAGTAAAGAAATATGTAACGAGAAGATTGGAGGGAATATTGTCATGTGTCCTCTTTGTGACAAGAAATGTAGCTTCTGGAAACTCAACACGACGTGCAACTCGTCGTGGGTGAGTCATCTTTGCTTGTGACTCATGTTCTACCCACAAAGCATGGCATTTAAAGAAATGTTGCTGCAAATTGTTGACATTTGTTTATTTTTCTCCTTATTTGTTATAAAATGTTCGTCTTTCAGCAATCTCACCTGTTTGACAATGTAGCAACAGTGTTTTTTGCCATCTTCATGGGAATTTGGGGTAAGAAAACATGCTATTTAACCCAGTGCACCACCTAGTGGATGTACTGGTGATTTTCACTTTTCATGTAGTTGAATCTTTCATGTGCAGAAGCTTGAAGACTGGAGCTTAAGCTAATGCATCCTGTACAGAGTTGATGATAATAATAATTTAAATACATTGATAAGAAACTCCTAACACATATTTTTAATGCAGTTGAATAAATGTTGTGATGGGTGGACTGCCTCTGCAGTGACGCTGTTTCTGGAGTTCTGGAAGAGGCGGCAGGCCCGACTGGAGTACGAGTGGGATCTGTTCGACTTTGAGGAGGAGCAACAGCAGCTGCAGCTGCGTCCAGAGTATGAAGCCAAGTGTACCAAGCACGAGAAGAACCCCATCACTCAGGTGTTTGTACTAATGAAGTCAACTAATTTACTATAAGATAGTCCTTTAAATTGCATTTTAGGCAGTTTACTTTTTGCATAAATTACTGCACAAAAATATTTTATCACTGTATTGCTTATGGTGTTTGAAATGATCCAGTCGAAACGAAAAGCAGGTGTCAAAGACAAATGAACAGAAACAAATCTTCCATCACCACATCCCATCCGATTTTAGGAGCAAGAGTTGATACTTGAGAGAACTGCAACAGGTTTAGCGGGGAACATTTTTCTGTGCTGGGTCGCAGTGATCTTCTGGGTAAGGGTGGCACTCGGCGTGGCCTGACAGTTTGGTGAGGAAGAGGTTTTGTTGTGTAGGTAAATAACAAACATCTGGAAAGCCTCTGAGGTACAAGTTTCCCACTATAGCTTCAAATCAAACAAGAAAACATTAACGATACTGAAGAGTTCTGATTAGCCAAAGTGTGTCACATGTGAGGATGTAAAGTTCATTTCAGAAACTTGGCCTTCTAGAGATCTCTTTTCAGAAAGATAACAAAGGTTGTGTCGATGCTTTGCTTGCTCCTAATTTAGGAAATGGAACCTCGCTTGCCCTTAACAAGCAAGTGTGTACGCACGTGTCTGTCTGGAGCCACGGTCCTGTTGTGGGTGAGCATTTAGAGTGCTTTCATTGTTCCCAGCTGTCTTTGTCCGTAACGCACCCAGAAGCTGTACGTGTGTTTGGAATGTGTGCGAGCTTTTTTCTACTAACTAAAAAAAAAATAACCATCTTGCTTAGTTTGTGCTTCTTGCAGCAGTTTTGATAATTTTAGTGTTTCTATCTCTTGCTCTTTTTATTTCATGTGGTCCTTTTTTCTGAAGATCTCATTGATCATTGCCTGCATCATTGGGGTGATAGCGTACCGCCTGGCGGTGTACGCAGCCTTTGCTAGTATCATGAAGCAGAGTCCCACCAACCACCTGGAGGTGGTCGGCCCTTACATCACACCCCAGCTGGCCACATCTGTCACAGCCTCTTGCATCAACTTTGTCATCATCATGATCCTCAACCTCATGTATGAGAAAGTGGCTATCTGGATAACCGATATGGGTGAGGGCTGCAACATGACCGCCCCAAAGCAGCGTAGCAACACCAAATGTATTTAAAATCTTTCTTTTCTGGATTTTACAAAATAGAAATCCCAAAGACTCACCTGGAGTATGAGAACAAGCTGACCGTGAAGATGTTCCTCTTCCAGTTCGTCAACTACTACTCTTCATGCTTCTACGTGGCTTTTTTTAAGGGCAAGTTTGTCGGCTACCCTGGAGATTACGCTTATATGTTTGGCAAGTGGAGCAAACTGAGGAATGAAGAGGTACCACGGACATGATGGAGCTTAAGATTCATATCTGGTCATCTATCCTCAGCCTGTGTTTTAGTTTCTTGTTTGTTTTGTTTTTTAATCCCACTCACGTTTGTTTGTTCAGTGTGACCCTGGCGGCTGTCTGATTGAATTAACAACCCAGCTGGTGATTGTGATGACCGGCAAACAGGTGTGGGGCAACATCCAGGAAGCTCTGGTGCCGTAAGTCCAGAAGTTTTATGTTTAAATAATTATATGCTAGTGTTTAACTTTCACTAAAAAAACACCAGATTGAGTTGCAGTATTTACTGTTCATGGGATTCATTTCAGCCTTTTGGAAGTGCGCTCATCTGTTAAAGTTATAATTATTTTATTCATTGCAGATTATATAACCAAATGTACATTCCTCAGGACTGGTGAGCTAACTAGCTGACTAGTCGACCATAGCCAAGATCAAAGTGTGCTGCTGCCATCTTGAAATGGCTAATGTCTCCCAGATGTTAAAGTAGTTTTTGATGAGTAATTCTTACATTGCCTATATTACATGGTTATTATGATGGACGTTTGTGGTTCTTTATGAGCATGAATACCAGCAGCTTCTTCTAAATGTAGCAGCTCAGTACAAGCAGGGATCCCGCTCTGCAGAATCAGAATGGCTGATGTGTAAAAGTTTATAAATTGTTTGTATAAAGCGCTGCTAAATTTACAAGAGCAGATTTAAGACAGCTGTCATACACTTTAGTAACTTGTCAGTCTTCAAAAATTTTAAGATTACATGACAAATCCAGTCATATTCAATTTAAAATTTCAAGTTCGTCAGTCCAGTTGAATGTAAATGCTATTTCTCCTAACTGAGGCCATTCAAAAAACTATGTATAACTAGAAGAATAATTTTGAACTTTTGCACAGAAACACACTTTATTTTTTATTTATTTATTTTTTCAATACCTACAAATGTATTTATTTATTAATTGTATTACTTTTTTATTTTGTTTATGCAGGTTTTAACATTTTTTACAGGGTCACAGTGGGACAAATGAGGTCAAACGATAAGGACAGGAACGAAAGGGGCGGACAGAACAAGAGAAAGAGAGAAAAAAATAATAATACATAAATATAAATAAAGACATCACATGCTATTAATTACAGCAGAAAAGAACAAAGTAGATGATCTATGTACTGGTCAGTCAATCTTTAGTTCAATCAGTCCAGTCCACATAGAGAGTAAAGACCGGCGAGCCACCGGTAGGGGGAACCAGTTAGTTGCAGCAAACACTACTGATTAAACTGACGACATAGTCAGGACCCAGGATGTGCTCTGTCCTTCTTGGTGTGTTCAGTAAAAGGACCCCAGATCTTCCTGAACTTTTCCATGGAATCAGATATAGAGAACCAAATCTCTTCCAGATATAAACAGGTGGCCATCTCTTCAAGCCACCTCTTGAAGCAGGGAGGGGAGGCTGATTTCCACTCATTAGCAATAACTATCCCAAACATAAGGGCTTGTTGCAAAGCAGAGGGTAGGGCCAAAGAGGTGCCAGAGCAGCCCCGAACCACCAAGAGACAGTCAGGATACAGAAGCCTATTGTAAACAGTGCTATAGAAATTGAAAATGTCAGTCCAAAACGTCGTGAGGTTAGAGCAGGACCAAAAAAGATGTCCAAGAGTCCCATCCTCAGTTTTGCATTTATCACATTTTGGGGATACAGAAGGATTAATTTTGTTCACAGAAACACACGTTTAAATGGCAGAAAAATCTCTTTAACCATAGAGCTCTGTTCAGTACAGTGATGCATGACTGCAGACATGTTGGTCTGAAGAATCCTAGAGCAGGGATGTCCATACAGAGAAGAAGTGATATTATTAAGAAGTTATTTGTTAGATCATGATAATACTTCCTGGTATATATTCAGTTCTGTTTTTATAGCGGCACATATGTGTGTTTTTATTTAAATGTAATGAACATTTTATGCTCTAAGCTTATCACAAAAGGTCAGAACGTGGGTGCAGCGGAAATTGGAAGCTGTAAGATACATTATAAAAAGCCAGAGGTCGCACCTGTGTTTATAAATCTATGAATATTTACAAGTTTTATCTCATAATCCAGGATTGTTCTGAGAAGTTTCATGAATAGTGCTGGTTGTGTCCCTCAGGTGGATGATGAACTGGTGGGGCAGCAGGAAGGCTCGGAACCACCCAGAGAGTCTGTACAGTCGCTGGGAGCAGGACCACGACCTGCAGGGCTTTGGACAGCTGGGCCTCTTTGATGAGTACCTGGAAATGGGTAAGAATCTGAGTTTTTCTTAAATTACCATGGCAACCAGGTGGAGGACAAGACCTACACCTACAGCAGAGTCTAAATCAATCTTTAAATGTTTGTGAAGCTGTTAAACAGCAGGGGGTGCTGTTATCCTGTTCTGTCTCCCACCATCATCTCTCCTCTCCATGTCTCAGTGATCCAGTTTGGTTTCATCACACTCTTCGTGGCCTCCTTCCCCTTGGCGCCCCTCCTGGCTCTCATCAACAACATCATTGAGATCAGAGTGGATGCCTGGAAGCTCACCACTCAGTTCAGACGTCCTGTGGCAGCCAAGGCCCACAGCATCGGAGCCTGGGAGGAAATCCTCAATGGGATGGCTGTCCTCTCTGTTGTCACGAATGTGAGTGCCAAACTTGGCTTCATATATAGTTTCAGATGTTAAAATATTTCAGTTTTACCAACCCAACTATTTATCTTTCTTGCTTATAGGCATTTATTGTGGCCTTCACCTCTGACATGATTCCTCGGTTGGTGTACATGTATGCCTACCAGCCAGATGGAGAGCTGAACATGAAGGGTTACATAAACAACAGCCTGTCTGTCTTCAACATCTCTGAGATCCCACTGGAGAACAGGCCAGAGGAGGAAGAGAACCCTTCCTGGTTCAACAGCTCCATCACAACCTGCAGGTCGATACAAATGTCTCTGAATACACACCATGAACAAATATTTACGTTTTTCTTCTCTAGTTCTATTTTAAGTTAAATAAGTGAATTTATTAAGCAATGAATGTGGTATTAAGGCCTAGCTGGTATAGCAGATGTAACCTTTAGCAGCTTAAGCACCATACAACTCAACCGAAGTGTGTGTGTGTGTGTGTGTGTGTGTGTGTGTGTGTGTGTGTGTGTGTGTGTGTGTGTGTGTGTGTTTAAAGCTGCTATTGCAAATCTGCAAAACCAGCTAAATAAACATGGAATTCTCACTCCTCCCGTCAATCAGACGGCAGAACACTCATTGTCACATAAAACGAGAGAGCGCTAAACACTAGTTTCAGTTTTCTACATCCAAATGTTTTTAGTTGTCCGTGACTTATTTTATTTATTTACTTTTTCTCTTTTTTATTTCATTCAAAATAAAAACAAGTAAAACATACAAACAATAAGAAATGCATTAAAAAAATCAAATTTGAACGAAAAGGAGCAGAATGAAGAAAAACATCTTATAATTTCTGCCCCCTTTGCAGAAGAAATAATCAATTTATATACAATTTCCATTCTTCCAGTGGTGTTTTATTTATTTATTTTATTTTATTTTTTGTGACTGGTAGTTTGTCCTAAAGTTGAAGTGGTAGCAGCCAGTTGTTCCTCCTGCTCTGATATTATTGAGCGGAGAACCTCTCACACATGTGGTGTTCTGTTGAAAAATGTGCGAGTGCACAATGACTGAAGGCCATAGGTAAATGTGGAAGGTTGTTGTGTGAGACTGAAAACCAGATGGTCCAATCGTTGGTTTCGAACTGAGCCATGTTATTGGCGGGGGGTTTTAAGTAAATGTGAGATTACCACTTCTTTTATTTATTAATCTCCACACAGATCATCTATAGCTGTACTATGTTTGAACTTTGTTTAGAAACATGAATGAAATGTTTTAAGCTAGCTTGTTCTGCAGATACGCCATTGTACCTTTAATTCTACATGTATGAGTTGTTTCATTATCTGTTCTGTGTTTGAATTCAGTGCAACAAGCAAGAATTTGTAAGTTTGCTGGAAACAGTCACAATTAATTTGTTCTTGCATCCTTGCAGTGCTCTTGATTCAATGAATTGTCAATCAAATGTTTGTCTAAATATGTAAAAACATCTGATTTCTTATCTATGTGTTTTGTAGGTATCGTGATTACCGCTACCCCCCAGGACATGAGAAGCAGTACTCCCACACTATGCAGTTCTGGCATATTCTGGCTGCTAAGCTGGCTTTTGTCATTATTATGGAGGTAAACAAAAACCACCTCATAGTTTCAACAGTCATTTTAAATGAGCCTCACCTGTTTGCCCTGAGTAGAAGACAGAACAAAGATTGGTTCTCCTGAATGTCATAAATGAGCTTTTTATACATAAGTATTTCCTTTATATGATCCCTGGAGAGAATCGTGTCACCATTGTTGTTTTAAAAGGGGACTGTGTTGGTGAAGTTCTTAGTGTTAGAAATGCAACATTTGGTTTCAGCCACCTTGATGTGTTTAGGTCAAACGTCCATTCATTAGTTTCTGTATACCAGAGGTGGGGAACCCTGGTCCACCAAGGACCGCTATCCAGCATATTTTAGTTTCAACCCTGCATCGTCACTCCCGATTTCATTCAGCAAGCGATTAGCAAGCTTCTGCAGAGCTTGATGAGCTGCAGAACAGGTGGACCAACCACTGAATCAGAAGTGTTGGAGCAAAGACATGCAGGATACCGGCCCTCAAGGACCAGGGTTCCCCACTCCTGCTGTATGCACCGAAAATTCAGCCCCTGAAATTTTTCGTCCAAAAATGCATTTTCGGCCAAAACACCTAAATCATCGAAACAACACAGCTGAACAGACCGTCGGTTGAACCCCGCGTGCCTTACAAAAGCAGCTAAACATAGATATCCTTAACTGCATGGTGTGTTAAAGGCTCATGCCCAGCAGGATGTATCTGTTAACTCATCTGAAGAAATTACTGTATAATATTAAGGATGATATAAAGGTTCATAAAACAACATTTGCATGAACTGGAGTGAGATTTAGGAGATTATGGCTATTTTTAAATGGCAGCAAGTCATGTTGGGACCAAGTAGACCAGACTAAAGCAGATTTCTGTTGATTTGGTTACTTAAAAAATAACAGAATTAAAAGCATAAAAATGCTCTTTGATTAAAGACACAAGATCAGAGGAGTAAAAATTGTGCATGGAAGCTGTGTCCTCATGTAGATAAGGTTATGATGGCAGCTACCCATGTTGGTCTTAGCTCAGCTCAGACTAGCTGTCAGCTTGTTGGTCATGTTGTACATTGAAGCAGTTTCTCTGAACTGAAGCCGTTCATGGTGTTGGTCTTTTCCAGGTTACATTCCAAAATATCCCAGTTTCTTTAGATGTATACTTATGCAGGTTTTACTTTTATTTTTTCCTTTAACGATTATTTAACCTGATCTGGCTCATTCAGTTCAGAAGTCACAGATTTTAACTTCTAAAATAGTAACTGCATCCTCTGATTCAGCTTTTTGGGATAATGTTTAGGACATGTAATGGCTGCAGTGCATGTGTCATAATAATTCCATTGTGCTCCTCCTTCTGCAGCACGTTGTTTTCCTGGTCAAGTACTTCGTGGCCTGGTTGATTCCTGACGTTCCTTCTGACGTAAGGGCACGGATCAAGAGGGAGCGCTATCTGGTCCAGAAGGAGCTCCACGACTATGAAGTGGAGAAGCTGAAAATCCAGCTCAGCCATCAGAACCACCAGGAGTGCACGTGCACACCAGGGATCTATCCGTATTTATCCAAACATGAGGTGCTGCCAGAATTTTAGCACAGCGATTCCGACACAGTGATGTGTAATCTGATCCAGAACATCACTTTGTCAAATCACCTGTGACGTTGGATGAAGAGCTTTACTCACTTCACAGCCATATATTTTCTGTTTACTTGCTGACTTTGGAAAGGCTGAAAGACCAAGTCTCCGTGCATGCAGGCACTTCAAGATGCTTGAATTTAGATTTCTGTCTCATTGAGATGAAGTTGGTTCAACTTTACTGTAAGAAAAGAGGAAATCTTCTACACTGAGTCTAAATGAGAGGCCTCACATATTTATTTAAAGTGCCACTATAAGTAGCCAAAGACTGAACGCCTTGAAAAATCACTTCTGCAAATCATGTTTTTTTTAACTTTGCATTCATGTTGTCAAAGGTTCTGCTGTGATTTACATCTGTTTAGCTTTGAGGTCACAGCATTGATTGGAAAGTAATCTCAGATTCTGTTTAAATTCACTGACTGTTATGGCAGGTTTGATTATGAATAATCCAATCTGCTCATGGCTTCAGCCAGCCCACAACCTGACCTGTGAAGTAGCTTTTTAAAACACGATACATCTGTGCTCCTGTTCTGACTGTGAGTAAGGACTTCTTTTGTGGCCAGTTGTTCAGCCGCAGCTGGTGCTTGTTGACCGTTTACCCAAAGATGAGAGCTGAACACTCTCGAGCGACGACTCCTTAGTTTTTTAATGTTCCTGTGGTTTCTGACACCTGTAGCTAACTGAACTGTGCTTTCCTCAGATGTGCCTTTTATACAAAAAGACACATGTTTTATTTCATTTTGCACAAAGCACTTACAAGAGATGAGGCTGTCCGACTAAATAAGACGTCAATATGAATACAGTTTCATGTATATAAAGGATGTTTAATGCCACTTTGGCTTATTGAATAGACATCTGTGGAGGTTTTATGGATTTTGATTTCATGTAGAGTAACAGAAAAATGTGTTAAAGTTGTGAAATGTTTAAATGTGACCACAAGATCACCTCGCTGTTCCAGTTTGCCTTATCTGTGCCTTGTGCTCAGCTGACCTAATGCCTTTTGATGCCTTAATATAATCGTATTTTCTATAACTTTACTTTTATTTAACTTTTTTTTCATGAGTATGTTATGCTGTCAGGCTTTAGTTACAAAATGAAAGAATAACCTGTTTACTGTATGCTCAGTGGGTTTTTGATGTTTTTATTCATTTATGCTCTGCCTTTTTTGTAATCCAAAACTATAATATAATAAAAGTAAGTCTCCACATGACTGTAGTTTAACATATTTTGGATAAATTCTGAGCCCCGTTGACATTCTGCTGTCTTCCCAAGGAGATGAAAATTTGTGTTCACAGAGCAGATGGCCCAAAACGGGGAAGGCTGGTAACTATGCAGTGTTTGTTCGCACTGGTGGGTGTGTTTTACACCCGAGTATGCTGGCGGGGGATTTAGGCTTGTCAGGAGAGCATTAACATAACAAAGAAAGGCCGTGCTCAGGTCCAGGTAGGTTCATAGTTCACTGGGATTATCTACAGTTGTGATGTTATGTTGGATTTAAGAGAAACTAATGTAATGCAGTGAAGTTTGCCAATTTAGATTTAATAATTTAAAATTTTACAAGCATAAATGTTACAATTAGATCGTAAACGATGACTGAGCCCCCTGAAGCTGTCTGATGCCACCTAAAAACACGTGTGGTCCAGAATCGGGTTAATCCCGAAGCTCTCCACTCCTGTGTTTTGAGCAGACCAACTGAGGGATAGTGTTCCCCTTAGCTTGGCACCTCCTGCTTGGCCTGATCCAGCCGTCTGAAACCGCTGTTCCGCTGCTGTGTTACAATTAGGATCACCTATAGGGCAAATAGATCAACAGACACGTGTCCATAGCTGGTCTTGTCTTCTTTTAATCAAGATTTGCTCCTCATAGCCCCGCCTCTTCTTCACACATGCTTTTGTCTGGAGATGCTTTCTGCAGCGTCATCACCTGCACATTTATTCTGTTATGAGCTGTTCAGGTTGCTTATTGATGTCCAGGCATGCAGTTCACTTGACGGATACAGATGTAAATCACACACGTCTCTTCCTGAACGACGAGCCTTAAAACTAATCAGTGTTTTTTTTCTGATTAAGTGAAAAAATATATATATATCTAACATGGACGTGGTCTGATGTCCTCCTTACGCAACACTGCCTTTGCGTGGTCGAATGTAAGCTACTTTACAACAGGGCTTCACATCAAAACATATATATCTTGATTGACTGACCTATTTAATGTTTTGTTTTAGCTCCAGTTTTTATTCCGCGCGACACGTTCGTTAGAGCAGAACGGGGAACATCCGTGCGTAAAACCTCATTTCATGGAATTTGTGCCTAAAATAATTTTATTTCAATTAAAGAAGAGAACGAAGAACAGATGTCAGTCGGTTGTGGCTGCTGACAGATTTTTTTTTTAGTTGTAATTGAATTAAAGGAGCGGGAAGGGCGGGGCGCCTCTCAGAGCCGCTGACAGGTAGGAGCGGTGCGCTGTCCATGGTGCTGAAAGCTCCTCCGGCTGCTGCCACACCGGAGATCCTCACCTCAGACCAGACCGGGAATCCGACTGGAGCTCATCTTAAAATCTCAAGGAGAAATCAAGAATCGTCCTTTCGTTCTGATTTTTTTTTTACCTCTAACATTTCCGTCTTCTCTGGATGTTAAAATGGCTCTGCACAGATTTACGTTGCGCAAGGCACCAGCGGAGTTACTTGGCTCCTGTTTTGTGAATGTGAAGCCAGCTTTTTCGGACTGAGCGTGTTTCCCCCCTTTTCCTACTCATCTTTTTAGTATATCGAAGAAAAGAGGCACACCTTTTGGATTCATATCTCAACAAATATGCTTTTTTCTGCACTTGCACTTATTGTAGTATCGTAGGATATAATTTAAAAGCCGTAACTTGGAAATGGAGCCTGGCAAGGAGAGCGCTCTCCCCATCAAAGGGAGGCTTAAACAAGTCGCAGGAAAGGCCCTGGGGGGTCTATACAGGTAAGACCAGAAGGAATTTATTCTTTTGTTTTTAATTAGAGAATAGTTAAAGTTAGCACATGAACCGATGTGCTAAAATATGCAGCGTGGGGCTAATTTTTTCATGAATATACAACAAAATGTATTCGCTAAGGGATAAATCAGAGCAGAATCCTGAAAGCAGAGTGGCCCGAATATTTAAGGATCAGATATTTCCCTGGAGGACGGTCCACTCCACCAGCAGTGGGTGTTTTTAATAATTAATGAAACAGAGAGTCGTGACACAGGGTCCGAGGATCTCTGTTGGCTCGTGTTTCCATACCTATCAATCCTAAATCGATGGATTTCATTGTCAGTTGGCGTAAAGCTGCACATAAAATGTAGTTCAGGAAAAAACATGCACTGATGGATTCAACAGAAAAGGCTGATGGTCACTTTTTATGCGTAAAACGTAATTGTGTTCTAATTTTACTTCAAAAATATTATTTAAATTGTTTATTTTTATTATACAATGAAAAACACGTTAAAATCAGGAAAAAAATGGAGCTCATCTAAAAATGAGCACGTGAGCTGCATTATTCGTTCGTTTACTTTATCTAAATGCTGCATTTGTTGGATTTTAATCTACAGCACACACAAAAAAACGTGACTCATATCTCAAGAAAAAGGGCCTGAGATTCTACTGAACGCGGCCTATTTCGTTTAGGCGTGTGCTCTGAGACCAATCTTAGATTTATTTGAATACATTTCATCTGAGTATAAAATCAGAACAATAAAAACAGATGTAAGAGTCATGATCGGAAAAATGAAAAAGGTTCCAATGAGCTTTAAATGATGGTGAAGATGATGCTGGTGCAATGCGGAATGAAGGTCATTTTCTCTCCTTTCTGCCCTGTTCTTAGTATTTTCCCCGAATAAGAACAATAAATAAATAAATAAACGTTTTTTATCTATTTTATTAAAGATGCAGCTTTTTAGCGACCTTTGATACAGAGAAAAGATTATTTTGTTGCCAAACGAAGAAAAAACTAAAATAAGTGTTATAAAACAATGTTTCATTTAACCCTTTTCCATAACAACGCACATAAATGAGGTTTCCATTTCCAAATCCGAGTGAAAACAATAAAAAGGCAGATATTTGATAGTCGTCCATTATGTAACCTGAAAATCAGCATCCTGTGCAATCGGCTTGTGGTGCAGGAGGCTCGAGAAGAAGCAGCAAACAGGTGAGGCCATCGAGCTGACCGAGGATGGGAGACCCAAGGAGGATCAGGAGAGGAAGGCTCCCCTGTGTGACTGCACGTGCTTCGGGCTCCCGCGCAGATACATCATCGCCATGCTGAGCGGGCTCGGCTTCTGCATCTCCTTCGGTATCCGGTGCAACTTGGGTGTGGCCATCGTCAGCATGGTTAATAACAGCACGATCCATCAAAACGGCAAGATCATCATCAAAGAGGTGCATGTAAACCCCGCCCTCCTCTTCATCAGGGACCCCCATTGCGCTGAAGGCTAGAACCTGCAGACCAATAGGTTTTCCTTAGACACACCAGCATTTATTTTAAAGTGCGGGGTTCAAATGTATTTTCTATTTATTGCACATAGACCCACTCAGCCTATTGTTAAAATTGTCAAACATGTATAGTTGCTTCGTTTTTCTTATTATCCCGATTTTTACTCAACTAAGGAATGTTTCTAACAAAACACCCTCCAGAAAAGTTTCACCGAAATAATTTCGGGACACAATAAATTCATTGTGATCTAAAGCGTGAAAATAATGTTGTTTTTTTGTTTGTTTTTTGTTTTGTTTTGTTTTTTTCTGTGCCTTGAAGAAAGCAAAATTCAACTGGGATCCAGAGACCGTGGGGATGATCCATGGCTCCTTCTTCTGGGGCTACATAGTAACTCAGATTCCTGGAGGGTACATCTCTTCTAGACTGGCTGCAAACAGGTACTTCCAGGTGTTCGGGCTTGTTTTATGTTTGTTGGGAAAATAATCTGATGCATTGACTTTGGGCTCGTCAGCCATATGAAAATGAGATTTGGAGAACCAGCAGATGAACTGGGGGATTTGGCTGATGCTGCCAGGCGTGCCTCCTCATGTTAATGAGCTCCCATGGGACCACCGTGTCTAATCCTTTATGTTGGGATGCATGGCAACCGCCCCAGCCAAAGCCTTGTGTGAAATCTGCTTCTAGGACGATTCCAATGTAGCTGGATGGATGCGTAAAACGGCACGTTAAACCCCAAACTGGAAATTAGTGGTTTTATTTTTGTGTGAAGGCAGTAATTGAGACTTCTCTTAGACCTGAAGAAATGTCCAGAACAGATATGGTGTACTGTTGTACTTGAATCTATACTGTATGCTATCATGATATCATATCATACATTGTATCACACTGTGTCACAGTCACATTGTTTCCTATTGCAGTTCATTGCATATCATATTGCATATTGTGTCATGCCTTACCATGCTACAATGTATCTACCTGTTTCATTCTTAAATTTTATTTTCAACTGAAATGTATTGTACCACATAAGATAAGATATCTTATCTTATCTTATCTTATCTTATCTTTGGGGTGACGGTGGTACAGGAGTTAAGTGCTTGCTCTGTAATTGGAAGGTTGCAGGTTTGAGCCCTGCTCAGTTTGTTGCTGTCATTGTGTCCTTGGGCAAGGCACTTAAACCCCAATGCCTGCTGCTGGTTGTTGGAGGGATCAGTGGTGTCAATGCTTGGCAGCCTCGCCTCTGTCAGTGTGACCCAGGGCAGCTGTGGCTACAAGGTGGCTCATCCCCACCAGCGTGTGGGAATGGGTGAATGACTGATTGTGTTGTAAAGCGCCTTCAGGGGTTCCAGGACTCTAGAAGGTGCTATATCAAATACAAACCATCTTATCTTATCTTATCTTATCTTATCTTATCTTATCTTATGTTGTTCTTTCCTGTCCTCTACCATCTATCATATATCATGCACATTCATCCAGTAATCGGAAGGTTGCAGGTTCAATCTCGGCAGAGAATGCTATTGTTGTGTCCTTGGGCAAGACCCTTAACCAACCTTGCCTACTGATGGTGGTCAGATGGACCGATGGCGCCTGTGCGTTAAAAGCCTTGCCTCTGTCAGTGTGCCTCAGGGCAGCTGTGACTACATTGTAGCTCATCACCACCAGTGTGTGAATGTGTGTGAATGGATGAATGCTATTGTAGTGTAAAGCACTTTGGAGTCCTCTGACTCTGAAAGGCACTATACAAGTGCAGGTCATTTATCATATTAACTTGCATCTTATCACACCAAATCCTATTACATCACATTATATTGTATAATTAAGATCATATCCTATACCATCCTGTCTCATTTGATGTATCATACCATATTGAACAGTAACACTTTATTATCATATTGAAGTTTGCAGCTGCATATCGTATCCTGTGTTATGATGTGATTTTGCATTGAATCACATTATTTCATACTGTATTTAATCCCATCATACCATACTGCATATTGTTTGATGCTGTGCTGAATAAAAACATAAACCCTTGTATCATAATTTTTCATCTTTGCCACGTTTTTATTTAAATAATTCCATTGGTCATCTTTCACATCAGTGCGTTTATAAATGACTTTTCAATGAAAAGTGTCAAAAAGACCTTGTACCTTGTGGCCAAACTGTTTATTTAATATACAGGCAGATGTGGTCTATAATGGATTTCCTGAAATGCATCATCTTCTACTGGACCGTTTCATATTATATTAAATATTGTGTCTTGTATTTTTGTATTGTGTTTGTTCGGCATGTGCACACAACCAATTAGGACTGCTTCATCTTCATTCAGACAGTAAAATTTTTTGCTTGTGCAAAATTAATTAATTCATTATTAGATTTAATTATCTTATTAGAAGAACTATGATTAACACAGTCGACATGATTCATTGTGTGCAACATGACGATTTTGTTTTGACAATAAATTGACAACCTCCCACATTATTTATCTAGAGTTTTTGGTGCTGCCATCGTGCTGACATCCATTCTCAACATGTTCATCCCCTCCGCTGCCCGTACACACTACGGATGTGTAATCTGTTTGAGGATATTACAAGGCCTGGTGGAGGTACTGATGCACTGTTTTCACATCAGGTTTTGACATTTAAAAGACTCTGAAACGATGCCTCATTATCAGGGTGTGTGCTGAAGCTGACCCCAGTTAAAACTGTCTGTAACCACATTTTACACAAATCCTGCTCTGCTTTCTGTTTCAAATTGTCTGTTAAAAGCATCCCTTTGTGAAGAAACTCCATTCATTACTCTGTACACAAACTGATCAACAAACAGCATTGAACCTTTGAATAGCAGAGTTTGTGCGTAATGGTTCGTCGAGCTGAAACGGCTCCACGTTCACAGAAACACACCAAACAAAGGAGATAAAAACCACTCGATGCAGGCGGCTCTCACAGCTCAAGATGGGGCTTCGTTTCAGGTAGAGGGAGAATCTATTATCAGATTGAAGGTCATCCTTTTTTGTCATTTTGTTTAGCTGCACACCGTCATTTCAATTGCTCCTCGTGACCATGGAGAGAGAAAGAGCCGCCAGTGTTCTGCTCTGAAACTTATTACTACAAATTAAGCATTAGCATTTCTGGGTGTCTCCCACTGCAAGCCCCAGCAATTTGATTCTATCAATAGGTGATTGTGTGCCACTTAGTGTTTAATGAAGATTTAATGGGAACGATTCAGTTTTCTCCATGAAATAGGGAGTCAGCTTGAATTTACATTGACTCACACCTCAGTCATTAGTCTCTATTAGAAAGGCCAGCTCTAATATGTGTCACTTTGTCTGTTATTAACTTCAATTTGTTGTATAAGTCTCTGACAAATGAGACGAGACGGCCAATCAAGCAGTGAGTGAAAATTAGACTAACGTACTTTTTTGTAATTGAACATGTTATAATAATTAAAATGTCAGATAATACATCAACTGTTTGTTTTTCTTGATGCAGGGAGTGACTTATCCAGCCTGCCATGGGATCTGGAGTAAATGGGCTCCACCATTGGAGAGGAGTCGTCTGGCAACCATCTCCTTTTGTGGTACGAAATATGGACTCATAAAATCCATTCATACATCTATACCCACTTGTCCATGCAGGGTCGTGGGGGGGGGGGGTGGGGGGGGGGGGGGGCTATCTCCAGCAATCTATGGGGCAAAGAGGCAGGGCAGAGTGCCTGCCCATCACAATCATAGTATATTTTCAGTTAGAAATATGGATTGGCCTCTCTAGTGTCATGTTGTTTTAGACTTAGCTGTCGGGCTGACCACGTTCAGGAGCAACAAGACCATGCTCTGAATAAACACCTGGATGGTTTTATGCTCAGTCCTGATTGTCTTGTTCAGGGTCGTATGCTGGTGCAGTGGTGGCCATGCCTCTGGCTGGGGTCCTGGTGCAGTACACAGGGTGGTCCTCTGTCTTCTATGTGTATGGTGAGTGTCACTATGAGGGTTGCTTGGAAACATTTAACATTTTAAAAGATCTCCAGCCGTAGTTAAATGAAAGATACATTAAAAAACTTTTTTTCTCTTCTTCTTCTAGTTCTTCAGTATGGAAGCCCATTCTTGCTACTCAGATTAATAAAAAATATCTCATAAATATTACCTAGCTATATTGGGTTTCCCCCAGAAAACTTGCAAACCCGGCAGTCATTAACAGCAGGGAAGGGGCGGGGCGGGGCGGGGGAGTGTGGACGCTTGGCCTGCTGGCCTGCCAGGCTTATAGAGCGCTGGGGGAAACCCTGCTACATCATAATTTTGAGATAATATCTCATAATTATGATGTAGTTAAGTCACAATTATGAGATTTGTTTGATCTGAGTGGCGGGAATAAGCTTCCATACTTAAGACCTCCTGCAGGTCTTTCAGAGCTTTTCTTTAAACATTTACTGACTTTTAACTTGGCACTAATCTTTACTCTTAATCTCTTTTAGGATGTTTTGGAATATTTTGGTACATGTTCTGGATTTTGGTGTCATACGAGAGCCCAGCTGAACACCCGACCATCACCGATGAGGAGCGCAGGTACATTGAGGAGAGCATCGGTGAAAGTGCCAAACTAATGGGAGCATCAGAAGTGAGTGTATTCTGCCTTCATTTATAACCCAATTGGAGCTTCATATCCATCTGATTGAATGTTTTTCTTCAATCTGTAGAAATTCAAGACCCCTTGGAGGAAGTTCTTCTCCTCCATGCCTGTCTATGCAATCATTGTGGCAAATTTCTGCAGAAGCTGGACCTTTTATCTGCTGCTCATCAGCCAGCCTGCGTACTTTGAGGAGGTGTTTGGCTTTGAGATCAGTAAGGTGAATAAAACAAACACTTCTAAATGGCTATAGTTAGCTTTGAAAACATCTCAGCTCTGAGGTTCTTATCTTCTCAGATGTGAATAAAATTTGAGTTAAGAGGATTAAAAAATATAGTTAAGATTCCAAGAATCAGATTAGAATCACTTTCATTCATTTTTTCAATACAGAGATAATGTACAATAGATAAATTCCAGGAAAACCCAGAGTTGGCCAAGTCAGTCTGTCAGTAAGTGAGTTGTTTGTTGTCTGAATGACCATGAGTTCAGCAAAAAGGGAAAACTCGTCTCTAACAGAATCAGAAGCATACTCAGGCAAACCGCCATCTGCCTCAGCCGTTCGGGTGTTTGTTCCAGGACAGAACAGGCGAGTCGATCTCATGGCAGAATGGGCTCCATTTCATTTGTCTAAAGTGTCAAGTGTTGCAGTTTAACAGAAAAAAAATAAAAAATTGATCAATCTGCTCACTCATTTCCAACAGAACTGCAGCTTGTGTCTTATCATGTGACTAAAGTGTGCTAAAGCATCGTGCTGTTGACACAAGGAGGAAGCAAGGAAGAGGAAGGATGTCATAGAAAAGGGTTCCCGGACTTTTTATTGATCTTTCACTTTTTCTCTGCTCTCCTCCTCACAATTCTTCACATTTTTTATGTTTATAAGTGAAACATTTTTCGGATCGCATCATATGATTTGTTCCTATATTGATTTCAAACCACTGAATGTAGCATTTCCACATTTTGAAAGGTGATGGGAAACATTCCTAGAGTGTGTTTTGTTGTCTCAAACTGGAATAAGTAAATAAACAAACAAAAAAATGCTATATCAAAAATACTTTCTATAGAGAGGCAACCAAAGAAGGGATGCTAGTGCATCATGGGATGTCATCAGGTGTTGGATGGAATTTAAAACAAGGACGTGAAAAAGTTTTAAGAGTCAGCAAAGATAAAATCAGGTAAATAAAACATTTATTAAACAGCAAGAAATAACTTTTAAAATGAAAAATAATGTTACAAACATGGTTACACATCTAACACAAAGTGAAATGTCATAAATGAACTGGCCTGTTAATCAACAGCACCATGACCCAATTTTAAATAAATTAATTAAAAAGGTTTGAAGAAGTCCCTTCACAAGCTGTTCATTACATGGTTAAAATGCTCGATTCCAGCAAGAGAATCTGTTTGATCCTCAGCAGCCGTGATGTTTGCCCTCCTGTTGGGGTGTAAACCATGATTCAAGTTATGCTGACAGGACTGGGATGAGATTGAATCATTACTGTGATGAGTTATTGCTCACTGGAGTCAGAGGTTGAGATGCAGGAGGACGTTTATCCTGAGACAGTTAAGAGAGTTTCTTTGTTGCTGTCAGAGATGTTTCAGACCTGTGTTTGATGGCTCCTCAGGTTGGAGCTCTGTCAGCTCTCCCTCACCTGGTGATGACCATCATCGTGCCTTTAGGAGGCCAGTTAGCGGACTACCTGCGGACCCACAACATCATGTCCACCACTACAGTTCGTAAAATCATGAACTGTGGAGGTAAAACATTTATTGTATTTCGTTCTTTTTAACGTTTTTATCTCAATAGTTATTTATTATCTTGCTGCGTTCAGGGTTCGGAATGGAGGCGACGCTCCTATTGGTGGTCGGATACTCTCACAGTAAAGGAGTAGCTATCTCCTTTCTCGTCCTGGCAGTGGGCTTTAGTGGGTTTGCAATATCAGGTGAGTCTTAAAACATTGGAATATTTCTTAAAGGTGGAGTACATAGTCTAAAAATTAAAGTAACTTACTTAAATTTGACTATGTAACTCTGTTCTACGGTATAAAGAAGATAATCATTCATACTTTATATTTCTTCTGAGCAAGCTTTCTACCAGATGTGTAACTGTGCAACTTCTATGATGCAGCATTGAGTTTTGGATGTGTTCCTGTTGCTGGTAGCAAATTCATAGCCAGAATTTTTGTTTCAGTCTTCCCCATGCTCACCCACCAAACCTTGTAACCATTTTGTCTACTTGAGTAGTTGAGTCATGGGGGCAGCAGCATAAGCAGAGTGGCCCAGATCTCCCTTTCCCCAGCTACATGGGCCAGCTCCTCCGGGGAATCCCAAGGCATTCCCTGGCTAACCGAGAGACACAGTCCCTCCAGCGTGTCCTGGGTCTTCCTTTGGGTCTCCTTCTGGCTGGACGTGCCCGGAAAACCTCACCAGGGAGGCATCTAGGTGGCATCCCAACCAGATGCCTGAGCCACCTCAATTGGTTCCTCTCGATGTGGAGGAGCAGTGGATATACTCCGAACTCCTCCCGGCTGACCAAGCTTCTCACCCTATCTTTAAGGGAGAGCTCAGACACCCTTAGGTGAAAACTTGTTTTAGCCGCTTGTATCCACGATCCGCGATTAATGGTTAGTGGTTACTCACCATTCTGGCCTCCGTCAGGTGTTTATAACGTTGGTATGGCACCAGTTTGAGGAAGTTATCAGGTGCTGGCAGAGGTTCAACAAGCAGCCATCTATGAAGTCAATGGCGCCACATTCTGGCTCAGTGTTTGCAAGGTTCTGAAGATAAAATCCAACCATTTATGGTGATTGAACTGTTCTATAGGAAGACTGAACTAATTCCTGTAGCTCTTGCAACCAAAAACACATTTTTGTATTTTGGGCATTATCAAAATAAATTACTGTAGAGATTAAATCACCCACTTGCTGCTCACAACTCAGAGGGTTGGATTTATGGATGTATATTGTGTATTGGAGCTAAGTGATTAGCTTAAGTTTGTGTGTGTGTGTGTGTGTGTGGGGGGGGGGCTTTCAGAAAACGAGGGGGACTGGAAAATTACGCTTGTAATTTCTACAAACGTAATTTTCCACACAATGACCTCACCAGCAACAAAAATCAGTACCAATCCAGACTTTGTTTTTTTAATCAGCTCCAGTGTGAAGTGAATGCTATTTCAAACATTATGTTATAAATCCAGCATGGTGAATTCTGGCAAAGTTGGCAACTTGTTTACATCTGTGAACACCGGCAGGGAAAACATAAGCTAACGTTTACATGCTAAATTTTGCAAATGCTGCTCTCTGTAAGCTCCGTCTATGTGTCCATCTACATGTAATCTTCCAACAAGTGAACTGGACTTGAACCAGTAGAAACCAGGCTAAACTGGCAACAAAAACTATCTCAGTCGCCATTTTTCTTCTCACTGTTGCCGAACCTGGGTGTGCTACTTTTTCCAATAACTAAACTTAAATTGAACTAAACTTGGATTGAACTAGTTGAATCCATCCTTAACATCACTAAAAACAACACAGACACGTTGTTCGATACTCGTTTTGCTCACTGTTTACCACGCTTTTGACATCCAACATGGTGGACCCATGAGATCAGGTGACATGGGTGCAAAAGGCCAATTGGAAGCTTAAGGCTCCTCTCCTTCTGGTCGGCTTATGGGTCCCCTAAAAGAAAAAAAAACGAATGGAAGTGAATGTGGATCCAGAAGTAGTTCTATGTACTCCATCTTTAAATACCCTGTTTTTATTCAACAAAGAGCCAACTCATGCTCTTTACTTGTTTTGTTGCAGGTTTCAATGTGAACCATCTGGACATCGCTCCGCGATACGCCAGCATCCTCATGGGTATTTCTAATGGTGTAGGGACCTTGTCAGGCATGGTCTGTCCACTTATAGTTGGAGCAATGACAAAAAACAAGGTGAGTTTGTCCTCATGGGGGTGGTGACGTGATACAGACTCCATCTGAAAACACAAAACATTGGATGTCAACTTTTGTCAAGTAGGAATGTTGAGGAAGGACCTTTTTTAATCCACTTTTAGGACTTGAATAGATCTTTGATTAGTTTTTCAGTAAAAATAATGAAATAGAATTAAAGGAACACCATCATATGTTGCAAATGGCGACCTCTGTTTCTGTCCTCAGACCCGTGAAGAGTGGCAGTATGTCTTCCTCATCGCCTCCCTGGTGCATTACGGAGGTGTGGTGTTTTATGGGATCTTTGCATCTGGTGAGAAGCAACCATGGGCCGACCCTGAAGAAACCAGTGAGGAGAAATGCGGCTTCATTGATGAAGATGAGCTGGCTGAGGAGACGGGCGACATCACGCAGGGATACGGTGCGATGGGTGGTCCGGCAAAAAGCTACGGAGCCACGTCTCAGCTGAATGGAGGGTGGGTCCAGGACTGGGACAAGACAGAGGAATATGTTCAGGAGCCAGCAGGAAAGATGTATACCCAGCGTGGCTACTCTTAAACCATACAGCTGTGGTGAGCCTGAGTAGAACAGATCTCACATCACTAATTGCACAAGTTGTAGACAGATATTTAAATCCATTCTGTGCATTCAAGTAGTTTTAAATGAAATTTAAGAATTAGTTAATTGCAAAGCAGAAAAATCCTCATTAGATTATTAGATTTCCTCACATAAAGTAGGGCTTCACTTTACATACATACAATGGCTGCAGAGAAAAGCGCAGATCTGTGTTGTACTTCTTAGACATCCAAACCTCATCGACCTACTTGAACAACATGAGCCAGACGACACTGCAGTCGACCATCATGTAGGATTTTTCTCTAAAATACTACTATAATTGCACTGAAACTATAAGTGTTCTGAAAACAAAAACTATTAATATGTTTTAAATGTGTTTTACGTACTGTACATACCTGTATACTGTTTCTGTGAGACTATTGTGGATTTTGGGTCATTGATCTGTGTTAACATTAAATATAAATGGCCATATTTTTCATGGACAGAACCTCCTCAGGGAGATGTCTGCTTGCAAAAAAGGTCTTCATCTTCTTCAGTGAGGCCTACAAATACAAGACAAAAATAGCGTGAGTGAAGTTGACTCGTAGAGTTTTAGTGTGTGTTTGTTGCATGAATTGGCTCAGATCAATGTTTCAGACGCAGCCGCCTCAGAGTCCTCATTCGGCTAGCTGCTTTGTTGTCGGTTAAGTCGTGTCTTTTACCGTCACAAAATAAATTCAACAAGCTTTCTCGATCGGGTTGTTGAAGAGAGACCAATCAAAGATGTTTTAAAGGCAACTGCTCAAAATACATTGTTTATTGATGTTTGGTGTGCATTGCAATAAATTCTGTGTACCAGCCGCCACCCATTACATTCTGTTCTGTAGAGTAGCACTGGCTTGCTGTATCTGATTGTACTTGTTTTGGAGTCATGTGATGATCAGCATTAAGGTGTGTATTTTAACAAATTCTCAGTGTCTGGAATGTCAGCTTTAGTGCTCATGATGCAGGAGATATTATTGCATTTTGACAGCAAGGAATGCATTACATGCAAACATCAAAGCTGTTTGTGTTCTCTTGGTGTCCTTTGGTTGTTGTCATGACCACCACAAGTACTATAAACATTGTTCGTATCAAATGAAGTAGAGTTACCAGGAAAGATTATGAACAAATAACGTCTTACCTGTTGAAGATAGCTCTTTCACTGACACAAATGGATAGACGAGCTAGTAAAAGTGGGGCAAAGGCCGGGAATATACTTGCTGTTTACCCTCGCGTTGGCGCAGGCAGCAAGCTACGTCTTTGTGCACATACTTGCTGCTATGCTACACGACACTGCACCGCATGTAGTACTGGAGGGTTCCACCAGGGGACACACTAGAAAACTCAGACCAAAGAGAGAGCCAGTTTGTGGGCACAACCAAAACAAACATGGCATCAATGAAACAGCTCATGAACAGGTTAATTTTGAGATCATGGTGTGAAAGACCTCCAAACCAGAGAGGGTTTTGTCAACTCCACCTACTGGTTACTCGTATATTGCAGCGTTCGGACACATTAATTTCTCTTAATTTCGGGGGACGCACACAAACAACTCTTCAAATAAACGCAAGTAACACGTGGCAGCCATTTTAAACACGTGTTTGCAGCATTAAACAACAAGTATATTACGCCCCTAAGACCAAAAGGGATTTATGTCATATTAAGACAACTCCAAACTCAAAAATGTCAGCAATTAATGCAAATGCTATTTTAGTACCCTTTACTCACTTATTCTAACAGAAATATAATTGCATTCCTGTAGGAAGTGGTTCGTGCTGCGGCTAGCTGCTGCTGCTGTTTGGGCTTTCATATAATCACAAGAATCTATGTAAATAAATGTTCTAATCAAAAACTAAGGGCCATGTAAAGTAGCATTGGCATAATTCTGAGTATATAGTTGTTTTAAGATGACACTTGTTGGTCTTGGACTCGGACTAGCTCATTGGCTGGGTCAGAATTGAACTTTATTTTCCAAAGCTGAGTCCATTCAAAGAGCTATCTACAGTGGGTAAGATAATAACCTTTCCACAGGACTCCACCTCATCAGAGCTGAACTACTGCTTTAACGACACATTGATATTTTAACACTTGAATGGACAACATTAACTAATGGATGGCTCTTCCACTTGGTTTTATTTTCTTTATTTGCTGTATGAAATCTGCAAGGATGTTTAAAATATATGAATACATAAGAATGTTTAAGATGACCAAAAGATGCTATTATGGCTTTGTGCCTAAAGTTTCTGTAAACAGATAAATGTGATTTCATGGCTTCTAATATTGTGTTTAATGAAGAGGTATGTTGATGTCAGAAAAGTGTTCTAAAAACTGATATCCTTTTATAAAAATATGCATATATAACCCGCAAGTCCTTTGTAGTCCTGTTTTGGTGGTTTACTGCAGAGAGCACAGACTATTTAACTAGTTAACCTTCTTGTTCAAGCGTCTCCTGCTCTCTTCGTGTTCCTCATTACTAAATCAATGTTAGAGGTGTCAGGAGAGGAGAGGAGATTACTGGACCTTGTAACCTCTCAGGAACAGTAATGTTAATGCTATTACATTTAACATTCCTACAAAGAAGGACCTTTCTGTGTTTCTACAGACTACAGAATTTAATTTGCAGTTAAAGCTCCTGCCGAGGTGTCATGTTGGTGTATAAAAGTGTGATGCCAGCAGCACCTTTCTATACAGAAAACCAGAAGAGCTTAAAAATAGAACACATTGAGAATGCAAGGCAGGATATTATCACACACTGCTTTATATTTGTGCACTGATGAAAAAGCTTCAGGCATTGATCCGACTGCTTCATTAAGTTCAATAAACTAAATAATCAATACTGCAAAGCGAAGAATGAATTATCATTTCATTTTTTTCAGTACATGCTATGGTATTTTTTTACTGTAAGTGCATTAAAGGTCAGCTTCACTGAAAAAACTACTTTTTTAAATGATTATTTCTGATTATAATTGTCCGTTCTAAGTTTTTCATGCAGCTGAACATGAAAATAGTCTCCTACATCAATCTTCTGCATTAGCTTCTGATAGAAAATACACAGTGAAACTCTAGGATTTGAAAAGCCTGACAGATCTACATCACACTGTCACTTAACATTGTCATGGTTCGAGGTAAGTGCCTAACCCAAGACATGCAGAATAATCACACAAGTCCAAAGCAGTAAAGTAAAAATGTCTTTATTGTAAACGGTAACTGAAAACCGCACAGGGAAGTCCTGTGCTGAGGAGCCAAGACGGCTCGAGTCTCTGAGGTGTTCAGGTTGATAAGGAGAGGAAGGGAAGCCAGGGAGGGCGCTGGGCAGAGGGTGAGAGATCCAGTGGGAGTGAGGCAGCAGAGGGAAGTCCGAACAGGAATGGCGGAGGAGGACGGGACGTATTGATTAATTCCAGAAACGAACACAGCGAGGGTGAGAAGATGACGAGGTGATCCTGAGCGAGAGAAAACAGGCGTAAGGGATAATCCAATTCCAAATCCAAAAATACTATCCAAGGTCAATAATCCACAAGTAGACGGGCGAGTCAAACACGAGTTAGCAAAGATCAAAGTTTCAGAGTTGAGTGGCTGGTGCTACCTGAACTGGTACAATCATCCGGCAAAATGAAGTGTCTCCGTCCTCCTTTTAAACCCGCGTTCCTGATTAGGGAATCGCCAGCAGCTGTTGTTCCCTCTGCTCCTCACCTGCGGAGAATAAGCTCAGATTCTGGTGAGAGGAGATGGTGTGACTTACCTCTGCCCAGGGACATGACAGTGACCCCCCCCCCCCCCCCCCCCCCCCCCCCAACGGACGCCCCCTGGCATCCCAGCACCGGATCTGGAGGCCTCGAAGTCTGAGATGAGAGAGGGGTCTTCGATGTAGGGACCGGGGAATCCAGGAACGTTCCTCCGGGCCAAATCCTTCCCAGTCCACTAAATATTGGAGACCCCAACCACGGGGGCGGGAGTCGAGGATGCACCGAACCTTGTACACCAGTCCCCCTTTGTAAATCTGAGCAGGAGGAGGCGGAGCCGGAGCTGGGCACAGAGGGCTGGAAACAACGGGCTTAACCAGGGAGACGTGGAACACAGGATGGATCCGGAGGGACGATGGAAGTTCCAAACGCACGATCGTCGGGCTAGGGACCGCCAACTCTCTGAAGGGACCAAGGAATCTTAGAGAGAACTTCCTGGAGGTAGCTTTCAGCGGGACATCCCTGGAAGACAGCCAGACCCTTTGACTGGGAGAGTAAGTGGGAGCTGGGCGGCGGTGTCGGTCAGCCAGTCGCTGGTTCCTCTCCGCGGTCTGTTGAAGGGACGATCTCGTGGCAACCCAGGTGCGACGGACCCAACGAAGGAACTGAGGAGTGGTGAGGGCGGTATCTGCCTGAAGGGGGAACAGAGAGGGCTGATACCCGAGGGAGGACTCGAAAGGAGACTGATCTGTGGTGGAGGAGACATGGCTATTATGGGCATACTCGACCCAAGCCAAATGCTCGCTCCAGGTGGACGGGTTGGTGGCACAGATGCAGCGAAGCATGGCGCCCAGTTCCTGGTTCATCCGCTCGCATTGTCCATTGGTTTGCGGATGAAACCCCGAGGTCAGGGCCACCTGGGCTCCCAAGGCGGTGGCGAACTCCCTCCAGACGCGTGACACGAACTGGGGACCACGGTCAGAGAGGATCTCTGTTGGGATTCTGTGCAGACGAAACACATGTTTAATTAAAAGCTGGGCCGTAACGGCAGAGGTAGGGAGGGCCTTTAACGGCACCAGATGACAGGCCTTGGAGAACCTGTCCACCACAGTTAAAATAACACTAAAACCATGCGAAGGTGGTAACCCACAAACAAAGTCCAAGGCGATATGGGACCAAGGACGGGACGGTACTGGTAGAGGACAGAGTAGGCCTGCAGGAGGCTGGTTAGTGCCTTTTTGCTGGGCACAGATGTGGCAGGCCGACACATACTCCTTCATGTCTCTGTAGAGGGAGGACAACCAGAAAGATCGCCTGATCAGAGCCACTGTACGTCCCACTCCAGGGTGGATGGAAAATCTCCCGGTGTGAGTCCAGTGGATAACTTTTCCCCGTAATCCTTGGGGAACAAACAGTTTGTTAGAGGGTTCGTTACCTGGGCCGGGATCTGTCTTAAGGGCCTCCAGGACCTGGTCTCTTATAGGCCAGGTTACTCCAGCAACAATGCAGGAGGTAGGCAGAATGGTGCTAGGAGCCGTCTCGCCTTCAGAGGCGTACTGTCGAGACAGGGCGTCAGGCTTCATGTTCTTAGACCCCGGTCTATAGGATAGAACAAAGTTAAAACGGGAGAAGAACAAAGACCACCTGTACTGTCGAGGGTTCAGTCTCTTTGCCTCTTTGAGATAGATCAGGTTTTTATGATCAGTCCAAATGATGAAAGGTAGTTCAGCCCCCTCCAGCCAATGTCTCCACTCCTCTAAAGCCTGTTTTACAGCCAGAAACTCCCTGTCCCCTACGTCATACCTGCTCTCAGTGGGTGTTAAGCGCCGTGAGTAGAAGGCACACAGATGGAGTTTGTGGTCCTCCGACGATACCTGAGAGAGAACTGCCCCAACCCCGGTGTCCGAGGCGTCCACTTCCACGGTGAACTGCCGCTTGGGGTCTGGTCTGGAGAGGACTGGGGCCTCTGTGAACTTCTTCTTCAGTGTCCTAAATGCGGCTTCGGCTTCTGGAGACCAAGAAAAGGGCTTGACAACAGAGGTTAGAGCTGTCAGAGGGGCTGCGGTCTGGCTATAATTGCGGATAAACCATCTGTAAAAGTTTGCAAAGCCAAGGAACTGCTGCAGTTGTTTCCTGGTGGTAGGGGTAGGCCACTCCGTCACTGCTTGGACCTTATCAGGGTCCGCCCTCAACCATCCACTCTCTAAAACAAACCCAAGAAACTTAACAACAGAAACATGAAATTCACATTTCTCAGCTTTTACAAAAAGTCTGTTCTCCAACAGCCATTGGAGTACCATCCGAACATGTTTCTTGTGTTGGACCATGGGCCTAGAGAAAATCAAAATATCGTTAAGATATACAGTTACAAAGTCATTTAAGTAGTCCCCCAACACAGAGTTCACAAGTCTCTGAAACACCGCTGGAGCATTAGTGAGACCAAAGGGCATCACCAAATATTCAAAGTGTCCCAGAGGTGTCTTAAAAGCAGACTTCCATTCATCACCTTGGCGGACCCTAACCAGATGATACGCATTGCGGAGATCCAACCGCGTAAAAACAGTGGCATCCTGCACAGGTTCAAAGGTAGACGAAAGCAGAGGAAGCGGGTACTTGTCCTTTACAGTTATTTGGTTTAAACCCCTGTAGTCTATACAAGGGCGGAGTGACCCATCTTTTTTGGCCACGAAGAAGAAACCAGCTCCCAGAGGCGAGGTGGACGGCCTCATTATGCCATTGGCCAAGGCCTCGGTGATGTACTTTCTCATACTGTCCTGTTCAGGCTTGGACAGACTGTAGAGGCGGCTGGTTGGGAGCAGAGCTCCTGGTAACAGGTCGATACCAATGTCAAACGGACAGTGAGGTGGCAACGTGGCTGCTTGATCTCTGCTAAACACCTGCTGTAAATCATGGTACTCACTTGGTACCTGGGTAATATCAGGCGGCTCCCTAATTGTCTTTTCAGAGTCCTTAGATCCAGATGAAGCAGAGGTTAGGCAGGTTAGAAGACACTTCGGACTCCAGGTCTCAACACAGCTAGACCTCCAGTCCAAACACAGGTTGTGTTTCCTAAGCCAGGAATGGCCTAGAACTACTTGATTCTGCGGGGAGGGAAACACAAACAGTGAGATCATCTCTGTGTGGTTACCTGAGACCTGGAGCTGGAGTGGTTCGGTCCGGAGAGTGATAGTGGACAGAGACCTCCCGTCTAGGGAGGACACAGTTAATGGTTCCAGCAGTGGAACAGTAGACAGTTCCCACTCCCGCACGAGTTGCGGGTCCACCAATGACTGTTCACATCCAGAGTCCACAAGAACAGTCATCTGGTAGCGACGACTGTTAACAGTCAAAGCACAGTCTATAAGAAAACGGGAGGTTTTTTTACCTGGCTGACTGCCCACCAGAACTCCCGGAACTACTGGTGGACACGCAGTGGCGGCTGGTGAAAAATATTTTTGGTGGGGCTGTGCTATTTTTTTATTTTTAAACAAACTTGTGCTTTCTGAGCTTTGTGCACAACTTCACTATTTCCTGAATTAAGCACAGCTCTTTTATTTCCTGTCTTACATCATTGGACAAACTGATTAATCCAGGTGTGTCTGACTATTGGCACGCTGCCTTGCAGACCAAGGTTGAAAAGCCTTGCAGACCAAGGTTGAAAAATACTGCATTAAATTGCACAT